GCGTACAACTGTTCTCCAATTTTGCAATAAAAGTTGGATAGTGATATTCAGCCGCCTCTTTTCTTTCCAGCCTCCTCCTCTTGCAGCGTTTCCCTCCCCCCCTCAGCTCATCTCTGCCCCCTCCTCCTCCTGCATACACAAACATACCCATCTGGATTCCCAGGAGACCCCAAATATTTCAGGCTTGGGCCCAACTTTAAGCCCCCTCCCAAATATGCACGCAGACTTACAGCACTTTCATTTGAGTAAAAATGAAAGGAAGAAGAGGGAGGGAGGGGGAGAGAGAGAGAGAGAGAAAGAAAGAAAGAAAGAAAGAAAGAAAGAAAGAAAGAAAGAAAGAAAGAAAGAAAGAAAGAAAGCAAGCCCTTCCCTCTTACTGGTTTGCTGTATTGCCAGGCAGCCCATCTGATTAGCCCCTGCCTCGCCTCGTCTCAGGAGGAACCTCAGTTGGGCTCAGCCCCCCCCCAGCCTTCGAGGAAGACATGGTCTCTGAGGATCATCTTCCAGCTCTGCCTTTAAAGCTCCCCAAGGGGGCTTTTCTCAGAGAATCATGGGAACTGTAGTTTGGGGAAGGTGCCATGCCCTCTTGGCCCCAGGATTCCTGGAAAAGAGGCAGCCATAAGAGGAAACAAACTGATGGAGAACTCCTGAAAAACCTTGGGGGACGAGTGGCCTCTCTTTTCCACAGCTGCCAAAATGCCCCCTTCTTTAGGAAAAGGCCAGGAATTTCCTCCTTGGCATGTTTTTCAGACGGGGAGCCACTTGCTAATGCAAGCCCCACTTCCCTGCCCGTGGGGGGGGGCAGCAGGGTGCCAAGCTCACTTGCGTGGGAGGAGACCTGCCAGGTGGGGCCCCAGAGGAGGGGCCCAAGGGCCCTGCTCCCTCCCCTCCCTCCCCCCTCCCTCTTTCTCCCCAGCTCCTCAGAGCCAGAGGTTATGAAGATGAGCTCCAGGGCTCAAGGGACTCTAATTATCCTCTAAGTGTGAACGCCAGAGTGATTAATTAAGAGATAATAAAAAGAAAAGCCGGCTAGAGAGGAAATAACGGCTGCTTTGATGATAAAACCTGAGCTAAGCCAAGCAATTAGGGGAATCTTTAGGAAGAGTTAGCTCTAATCCCCTGTTACCCATTGCCAGGGAAGAAACCAGGAAGGAAGGAAGGAAGGAAGGAAGGAAGGAAGGAAGGAAGGAAGGAAGGAAGGAAGGAAGGAAGGAAGGGCCAGACCTCTTCCAAGAAGACACCCAGCCCTACTCACAAAAGACCTCCCTCCCGCTGCTTGTTCCACAGAGGTAGACTATTCCTGCTTGTGAAGCTTGACCTTAGCCCCTTCCAGAGCCACACATGGCTCGGAAGCGCAGAAGAGCTTCTTCCCATGTGGACTCGCACATCATGTAATCAGGTCCAGACCCCCCCCCCAAAGCAGGAGCGGCCACGACCAGAAGGAGGGAAGCCAAACTCCAGGAAGGGCAGCCCAGCAGCTGAAGGTCACGGCAGGAAAAGGACCTGCTGGATGCATCGGAATCCCCCTCCGGAGCCAAGAGGCCCCCACCCCAAAGGCCACCCCTGAGACGGGCTTGCAAAGTCTTCCCTGAGGAGGGGGCACTGGCCGTGGTCTGTTTGGTGCTTCACAAGGCCTCCGTGCAGTGGCTTGGGGGGAGGCCATTTCGCATGGGGGGCAGCAAGGAGGCCGGCTAGTCCCAGCCCCCCCCCCAAATTATCTGCAAAGGCGGCTTTCTTCTCCACTTCAGGAAGGACGCCACCTCCTCCCCTCTGGGAGGGACACACAACAGGGGAGTGAAGCATGCCAGGCTCCAAAGAGCTCCAAAGAGTGGATGGGTGAAAAAAAGATATGCAGTTGGCGAAGCCCCCAGCCTGCTCCCCCTCCCCTCACTCTGGCCATAGGGTGAGGGTTTAAAGCTCTTGAATCCCCAGGGAGCTTTGGCTCAGCTCCCTCCCCCACAGAGGCTAAGGGGGGAATGTGGGGGGCGCTGGGGCTGAAAGAGGAGGACCAACCTGCTGGGGCCCTGGGAAGGCCAGGAAGACCATGGGGCTAGTGGAGGGCAGCCCTCAGCTGGGTCCTGGGGTTGGCTGGCCAGGCCTTCTGCTGAGCTGAGCTTCTGGGCGTTGCTCAGAGGGTCCTGGGCACTTCCCTTCTCCCTGCCATTCTCCTCACTCCCCATCATCCCCAGCCTGGGGAAGCCAGGAAGATGCCGTGGCCTAGACCTGGGACTGAATCTAGCACAGCTCAGCCCCTCCCCCTGCCCCTTTGCCTATTCCCAGAAACTGATAGACTGCCTCTGTGGATGGAGGCTTTGCCCTGCTCTTCCCTTCACTGGACCCCTCCCTCCCTCCCCTGAAAAGGAGCCTTAATCTTTTCCATTTCAGATGTGCCCCTTCTTCCTCTTGAGGAGGAGATGAAGAATAATCCACACGCAGAACGGCTCTGAAAATGAATGAATATTTCAGTTTGTGACACAAGCCATCGTGGAAAGACCCCTGCCGGATGATTGAAAGAGGGCGGAGGGGAAGACAAATGACTTTCATTTAGATAAAATACAGACAATTATTTTGTGAAAAATGAGCAGAGGCAGCACAGCATGCCCCCCCCAATTCAGAGGAGGAGGATGTTGGCACACCCCCCTTTGGATGCGGGAGGGGGAGCACAAGGAGGTCCAGCCTCTCTTCCCTCACTCCCTTCCCCAGCTCGGGCCTTTGCAGACATGCTGACTACAACTCCCATTGTCCTCAGCCAGCAAAAAGAAAATCCATCGGTGGGGGGGAGGAAGCCCCCTTTCCCATTCGCCCCTTAATAGCCTGGGGGAGCCTCGTCCCACAAAGACCCATCTCTTTGCCTCTCCACAGACAGCCTGCCCCTCCCCCAGGAATGCCATTCTCTGGACCTTCTAGGCGGGTCTCCTCCCCCTTCAAAAGGTCTGTTTGATTCTTTCCCTCTGAATCCCACCAGAAGCCCCCGCCCTGCCTGGATTGATGGAATGCCCCCCCCCAGAGGAGGGCTGCACCATCTGTGCCCTCCAGCTCCAAAGCTTTTCCCCCCATGAGGCCAATAGGGCGGTCAGCTTCTTTCACCCACAGCCACAGCTAACCCCTCCTTTCCATGCCCCGCCCAAGGGTGAATGGGCTTTCCTCCCCCCCAAAGACACACAATTTGGGAAGGCACCCACACACGCTTGGAAAACACCCAGCTGCTCTTGCCATCTCTCCTGGTAGAGTGCCTCTGAATGTGGGAGATCCACTGACCAGGAAGCAGTGGTGCTTTCCAGGTCAGGTCTAGGCAGGGCATCCCGTCTCGCCTCCTTGCTCCATGGGGGGGGGGGGGAAAGGGGCAGAATAAACTTTTCAAAGTCCCCAGCCCACCCCAGAGGCACCAGGTTGGGCCTTTGCTCTGACCCAGGTCCACATGCTCTCAAGCTTTTTCTTTCCCAGAAATCAGGCTGTCCATGAGAAACCTTTGTGCAAGCCTCTAGTCCTCCTGGCTTAAAAAACAAACACAAAAACAGAATTCCATGAAATCATTCAGGGATTCAAGGAAAACTCTTTCCCTTTGCTATCTACATTTCCCTGCAAGATCCTACAAATGCTGGAAAATCCACTGGAAGGGGCGAGCAAGTAGAAAGATCCTTGGAAGATGCTACCTCCCCCCATCCCTTGTGGACAAGCTGCCTGAGGGAGCCCAGTTAAACACACACACATACACACACACACACACAAACACACAGCATTTTATAACTATTAGTAACGCTAGCTGTTTACGGCACACGAGATGGGAAAGGGAGAATTACGTCAGGCTTCACCCCCCAGGCCCTCCCCAGCACAGCCACCGCGCGCGGATTCTGCCTGGCCTCCGCCTCCTCCGGCAGCCCCGCCCTCCCCAAACGCCGGAGCCTGGACTCCCCCCTCCATGCCCGCCCCGGGGTGGGCGCCATATGCAAAACAAGGATGCCCGGGGCTCGAGGGGCCAGAGCAATCTCCCCCCTCGCTCGACGACGCCCCCTCTGTAGGGAGCCCCGATCCCTCTCGGGGCCCTGGCTGGGGCGGCATCGCGGGCCCCGGACCCGTCTGGCTGCAGAGGGAGGAAGCCGCGCGGCGCCCGCCCCCCGGATTCCCCGTCCCAAGCATACCCGCCGTCCGCCGAGCGCCCCACCAGCACGCGCCCCGACTCGGGCGCTTGGCAGGAGAGCCCAGACCCCCCGCCCCCCGCCCGCCCCGGGGACTCTGCCTGTACGGCTCCTCTGGCCGGTCCGGGGGTGGGCCCCCCCGCCCAATCCCGGAAGGCTCCTGCCTCCCCCCCTCCCCGTCTTAATTTCAACTCTAGGCGGGACGTTGCGAGGAAGCGAGGCGAGGCCGCCCGAGGGAGGAGCGAGCGGGGGCAGCGAGCCCCCTTTTCGCTCTGGTCGCCCCCTGCCTTCGGCCCCAGACCCGGCTCCTACCGAGGCGCCGCTCCTTCCCTCCCCGCCCTCCGGAGCCGAGAGGGTGGCGGTCCGAGTGCGAACAACTTTTGACTCGCCCCCCCCCCGGCGGAGAGAAGGAGGCAGCGAGGCAACAGCGCGTCGCCCGCCTCCCGGGCTCGGGGGCCTGGCGGATCGGCGGCGGGAGGAGGGCCGGCGGGGCCTCCGACTTGTCGCCTCTGCCAGCGGGACCCGACCCGCGCCGACGCCGCTACTCCAAAGGCGGGCTGGAGGCGGCGGGGGGGCGCTGCTGCTCTGGCGGAGCGCAGCCCGGCCAAACTCCGCGGCGGGCTGTTGCTCACCAGTCGCCCACGCCGGAGGGGGCCGCCGCTCTGTCCCGCGCCACGAAGCCTCGCCCGGCGAGCGAGCCCCCCGCCCCGTCCCGAGAGGCGAACCGGAGCCGCGGGGCGAGTGCTGGGCGCCGCCTCTCCCGCCCCACCGCCGCTGCGCCCCGAGCCGCGCGCCCTCTCCCGGCGGGGCCGGCGGGAGACCCTCCGGGCTGCGAGCTCGGCCGGCCGTCGGGGCGCCGCTTACCTTGCGCGGAGGCGACCTCGACTCCCGAGAAGACGCACAAGACGGCGAGCAGCGGCAGCATCGCTCCCGGCGGCGCGGCGGGGCTGGGTTCGGCGCTCGCCCGCCCGCTCGGGGCCTCCTGCTACCCCGCGCGCCCAGCGCCGTCTTCGCCCCGCTGCTCCTTCCAGAGAAGGGGAGGAGGAGGAGGAGACAGGAGGAGGCGGGAGAGGAACCTCGGGGGGGGCGGGCGGGGGAGGGGGAGGAGGCGGGCGGGCGGGGGGAAGGAGCGAGGAAGGGACCGTCGCCGGGGAGCGAGAGCGCGCCGGATTGGCCCAGCCGGGCGCAGGGAGGTCCGAGACTGGGGGATGCCGCTGCGCCGCCAGCCACGCCGCCGCGCGCCCCGAGCGATGGGACCTGTAGTCCGGAGCTGCCCGATGCCCGGGTCGGAAATGGCGAGCAGGCAGGGCGGGCACAGGGGGCAGACGTGACTCCGAGACTCCGGCTTTACCCAGCTAGAAGTGGGGCGCCCCCCCCGTGGGGAAAGGGTCTCCCCTTGAGAGGATTCAGGGGGGCGAGACTCCAGGCAACCCTACGTTCATAGAACGCTCTCGCTGGGTGGGTTCACGCAACACCGCAGGAGCCCAAGCAAGTGGCAAGACCCAGAGAGGCTTCCCGGCTTTGCCGGGCTTGCCCCGGATTCGCACCCGTTCCCGGGCAAGGACCCCCCCCGGGCCCGATCGCCCCTTACCTCCCGGCGGGGCTGCACAGAGGCAGAAGCCGCAGCTTCCCGGGAGAGGCTCAGCTTGCGCTGCCGCTGGCTTCGGCTCCCCCATCCTGCGGCCGCTGACATCCCTCTCCCACCTCGCACCTGCAGGATAGCAGGATGTTTCTGAACATGCGCAGAGTTCCTCGGCACGGACCAGCCCGGGTTGCGTGGCTGATCTGCGACCCGCCGTTTCGGACGGCTTGTAGCTGCCGCCGCGGCTGATTCGCAAGCCTAACGAATGGGACGGTGGCTGATGGGACGGGGAACCCCCAACCTCCTGTGCCAAGTCCTTCGCTTCTTAGAAGGGCCCGGAGCGCTTCGAGCAGCCCTGCAAGGCAGACCGCCCCGAGCCGAGCCTCGCGTCCTGCGGGCTTAGAACGTCGTTTGGACAGAGGCTGGGATCCACATCAATTACCGCCAGGGGCTTTCCTGCTGGGTGACCCAGACAGGCTTCGGCCCTAACCGGAGAAGCGGGGTCCGGGGCTGGGAAGGCTGGTGGGCTCCCCGAGCTAATGGGGGGAGTAGCAGGTCTGGACCCCCCTCCCCCCGCTTTGTGGCTGGCTAGAAGGCGCTGACATGACATAGCGCCCACCCAGGAGCAGACCGGCTGCGGGCCCTGGCCGGCGCTCCTCCCTTCTGGCCTTCGACCCCGCCCGGGCCTGCAAAGGGCTCCCCGCTGCCCCCTTGCTCTGCCCCCGGAATCGGGAGGGCTTTCAAGCCTGCTTCGCCCCGGGCAATTCAGGGGTCTCCATGGCAACACAGCACCCGCCCCTCCCCCAGCATTGAGCGAGAGGTAGAGAAGCGACAAGAAGGGGCGTAGAACGTCTCCCCCCCTTCCGTCCCCTTTGGACACAATGTCCGGGACCCGTGCAAAAACTTCCATCTTTCTTTCGTTCCCTGCAAAGTTGGACAGCGCTTTTCTGAAGCTCGCTGGCGCCCTCCGGTGGTGGCAAGCGGTGGCGACAAGCCTTCAAAAAGACCGCTTTCCCTCGGCGGGACGGGACGAAGGGGGCACCCTGGTCTCGGGGCTGCTACACCCCAGAATGACGAGGGGTTGGCCTTCACACGTGAAGATAGCTCCTTCATTAGCTGGAGATGCAAAAGGGGAAACTGAAGCTCAGTGTGAGACATCTGAAGGAAAAGGAGGCGGCACGTTCCATCCAGCTCAGCGCTTGCATGCTGTAGCCAGCCTCTCGGTGTAATTAACTTTTTAATTAATTAATCCATTAACAGTCCCTCTGAGCCTCCCCAGAGGCACCCTTGTCTGAGGTTCTTGCTGATGCAAGTGTGTCTTCCCCTCGGGCCTTGGGGTGCTTTGGAATGGCACGTGATGGCCTCAGTCGGGGAGGTCAAGAGGCAACAGAGCCCCCACTTCGGCAGAACTGCCACCTCGCCTCGTCAACAAATGGACTCTCGGCTGCCTGTCAGGTTTCTGAAAAAGTGGTGCAATCCGTAATCCACCTGCTTGCAAGGCAACACACTGCTGTGGCTGGGGATCACGCCGGAAGACTACTTTGCACAAACACAGGTGTACACACCACCCCATGCCGGGCCTCCCTGTGTTTCCTCTTGGCGCACTTCCAGAGGGCCTGGAGACAGCCATGGTATTGTTCTCAGACAATTAGCTGTAGCTCTGGACCAATTCAGAGGTGAGCAGGAACCTGTGGCGGCTGAGCAAGGCAGGTGGGGGCACCTTGTCTCGTGCAGACGTCACTCCGTGCGGGAGAACCGGAGGCTCAAGTGCAGCTGCTGCGGCTGAATCCAGGGAGGGTGGCTTCCACAGCTGGGCAAGGGCTGTTTCCAGGCCCTCAGATCTGGAGTATCCCTAGCCTCCTTCCTGGACACAGCAGCGGTCAGAGCCTCAGCTGCTTTTCACCTCCAGAGAGGCCCATCTCCATTCCATGGAGGAAAATCTGGGATGTTTGGACTTATTTATCGGTCACTGAGGTTCTTGCACCCAAGTGCCCATCCTCTGCAACAAGCTAGACATGAATTTAGTGAGTTGCAAAGAAATCTGCAAGGCTGAATTTGAGGAACCGGAGATTCCCCTTGTGCTGGGACTTCTGCTCCCCAACTGGGAAATAGCTGCAGGCTTTAGTAGCGTGAAAGGAGCCTCCAGTGGAACCACCCACCACTTGGCTGGGAAAGGGCACCTGAGGGTAATCCGGTGCAGCTGCAGCCTCTGGCGTGCCTTGTTTCTAATGATTTTTTCTTTGTTGGCTGTCTTGGCCTCTTCTGATTTGGCAGCCTTATTTATCTAAGCAGCACCCACCACAGTAATCACTTTTCCATGGTTATCAGGAGCTGGAAGGTCTAAACAGTGTGAGACCTGGTTTGTCCCAGGAGACGAAATGCCAGCCCAGTGGCCCTCAGCCTCCTGCCTCCCGCTGTGGGCCTCCTTTTCTGTGACCATCATAATGAGAATTATAATGGTGTTTCTCCTACGCTTCATGTCTCCACGCAGCCTGCAGAAACCCATTTCAAAGCAGCCCTGGGCTCTCGGCTTGTTAGGAGCTCCTCGGTGGCTGCCTCAGAGCAACAGCCATGCTCAGCCGCTCGACCGCTCGCTCCTTGGGTCTCTGCTTGGAGGCTCGTCCCACAGCTGTCCCCTCGCAGCTGCCAGGCCCCTGGGCACTCCACACTCTTTGCCCCTTCTTCTGGAACTGGCCTCCTCAGCCCAATTTGGCAAAGGGAATTTTGTGACCCTGGAGGGGAGCAAAGCCCAGACAGGCAGACAGCCCCATCTTCCTCCTCCTCTCCCAGGAGGCAGAGAGAAGCAGGGAAGGGCGACCCGCCTATTCACACAGTGCCTCCTTGGTAGGTTTTGGACAGGGCTGCCAGGAGCCCAGATGGTGAAGGCAGCCTCCCTGGGCATGGCGGAGAGGTCCTTTTCAAGGAAACAGCGGGGCTGTCAGTGGGCAGGAGGGGCCCCATGCCTTCCAGGAAGGTAAGGACAGGGGCCCACAGGGACAGCTCACACCTCCCCACTTGGCCTGGCCTTCGTGGCTGTGGGTGGCTGCCATTTGCCTCTGCCCTCCGTCCCAGCACACCCCCTGTGGGAGCCAGAGGAGGAAGGGGGGTGCGCTGGAATCTGGATTTGAAGCCTCTCCAGTCTTTCCTCTTGGGTCACCTTCCCGACCTCGATCAGTGGGTGAAATACAGGCGGGCATAAAACCCCTTGGGAATGCCTGTTAGCTTTACCAACCCCAAGCGTGTGGGCAGGGGGTGCCTCTGTTTACAACCGCCCTCAGCTTTCTGCAGCTTTAATTGAGGTTGGAGAAAGAGAAAAATACAGATTTATCCTCCTGGCACGATGGGGGAAGGATGAATGCAGGACCTCAGGGTGGCAGAGAGTCAGGGGCTGGGTGGAGATGGGTAAAACCTGCTCCCCAGGGCCCACCACCTACGAATGCCAAGGCTGAGGAGGAATCAGCACTGAGGGATGATGCTTCCATGCACAGGAGCAGTCTATCTGAAATCACCTGTGGGAATGAGCCACATAGGGGGCTCTCACTGCCCCACCGCTGTCCCCAGTTCCAGAGGCTGCTTCCCAAAAGATGGGCTGGACTTTCAAGGTTTCTCTGGAGCCTCCTGTGGTCTTTGATGTCCCCCGCTTGAGCAGACTTCCCCCCCCCGTGTGTGTGTGTGTGTGTGTGTGTGTGTGTCTGTGTCTGTGTCTGTGTGTGTCTGTCTGCGGGCAGCCCCCCTTTGCTCCTCCTCTTCTGCCTACCCCCAAGGAGAGGGGGTGCCAGGGGTAGAAGCCTGGCCTGATTCACCAGCCAGCTGTGGGAGTCACATTCCCAAGAGGGCATTTAGACAGAAGCCTGAGTGAGTTATTGAGTAAGACCCTTTAGACCACAGAGGGTTACTTATTTATGAGAACTTCTTGGCAGATCTGTCACTCAATAATTTATACCACTCAGCATTTAGCAGCATCGCCAGTAAATAATTCAGTTATTATAAACTAAGGGATGCTTTACGATGTCTTGAATTACAGCTTCCCCTCTGATTCAGGACCATAAATACGAGGAGTGACAACCACTTCCCTGTGGCCTCACTGCTTCTTCCACGTGGATCGGAGAGCCTGGCATTGGCACCTCTGCCGGGGCTCCGTGGCATCTCCCGGGCACCACCGTCTCAGGGAGAATGCAGACGCAGTTCAGTCAGGGGAGGGGTGTCCTGCGTGGAAAGTACCCCTGCTTGCTCAAGGCAGAGTGGGAATCACTGGGGCAGCAGCACTGTGGGCACAGAGAGGCCCTCCCAGCCTCAGGCCTTGCTTTCAGCCCCAGGAAGGATCTGCTTCTGAAAGGGTCAGAAGGCTTGGCTGATCCTGTAGCCAGGTCAATCCTTGCAACGTTTCAGGCCTGTGGGACAGTCTGCTGCCCTCCTCCCCGAAACGATGATGTTGAGGACCCAAAGGCAGCAGCTCCACCTTGCGCACCTGGACACAGGCAGGTAGAACCAGCCCCCCTAGGCATGCTGAAGGAGGAACACTCCTGCAACACCCCCCCCCCATGCCCACTGGCTGCAGTTCCAGGCTCAACGGGAAATGCCTGGAGACATTTGCACCTCACAGTGAACACTGTGTCTTGAGTGGGCTTCTCCTGAGCCCTTAGCGCACCCCTCAGGAAAGGAGCTATATCCCAGCAAGTGGGGGGGGGTGGCTTGAAGAGCTCAAGGGAGACCCCCGCCTGGCTCAGCCCAGGGGAGACACCGGAGCCAAGCGACAGGCAGGCCAGACCTGGGCCAGCAAGCAGAGGGCCAGGTTCCAGCTATGGCACGGTGGCCTCCCATCCTTGGCCTGTTCCCAACCATCCCCCTCCTCCCCTCCCCCTCTTTCTCCTCCTCCTGTGTTTGGGGTTAGCTCTATCCGTGGGGGAAACCCGAGGCTAGAACTGGCCAGTTAGCTTCCTGAGTGACTTGTGAGGCCAGCCAATGGTGGCTTGAAAAAGAAATCAAGGCAACTCCTGGAGGGCTTAGATCCAGGTATGTCTCTTGAGTCCTGGGTTCAGCTTCTGCTAAGCCAACCTCGAGTCAGGATCTGCCCCATGTAGCAGTCCGCAGTGGGGCAGAGTATGAGCAGCCATCAAGGGTTGTCCTTTGGGAGGCAGCAGGGGAGCTCAGCCTTTCTTGGGGTGGGGGTGTTCCTCCTGCCTCCCCACCAGGACTGACCAGGGACGGGTGTTTAGGAAGACCTACTTCTGTGCTTCTTCCACAGCAGCCCCCCCCCCCAAGGAGCCACACAGAAAGGTTTCACCATGTCTTTTAATGGGTAACAAAGGCTCCATCTGGGAAACGGGGAAAGAAGCGGCTTTTCCAGCACGGTGGCCCCCAGCTGCCACCTGCTGGACAGGTTGCTCCCCGGTCCTTGAGACTGTGGGGACCCCTGGGGCCAGCCTGCGGGGGAGGCTGTGGGTGGGCTGGGATGGGGATGCCTTGACCCGTGAAATAAGAAAAAGGGGGCTGAAACTGATCTAAGGGATTAAACCCTGGGAAATCAGAACCCGTCTTGGGAGAGACCCTGATTCCCTGGGATATAAGAAGCGAGGATAAAACTCTCTTATTCCAGCAAATCTCAATGAAATAAGACTTCTGGTCTTCCTTTGGAGCGTTGCTTGATGTGGTTGGTGCCCTGATAAGATTTAATCAGGCCCCTGACTTGGGGGCCGGGGTGAGGCCAAAGCGTCCCGGATGCAGGAACCAGCCGCCCAGGGTCTGCTCCGGTCACAGCAGCAGAGCAGCAGTCATGGCGGGCACCAGGAGTCCTCTGAGCAGGAGAGAAGCCAGGCCCAATGCCCAGGGTCCTAAGGTGGAAAAGGGAAGGGGGGCCATCAACACGAGGGGCTGCAAACAAGGAAGGTCACAGCCATAGTCACAGGAGGGCGGAGGCTGACCTGAGCCGTGGAGCCAGAAGGGGCCTTCGCAAAGAGGAGGGGGGTTGCCAAGCCCCGAGCCTGGGGGCAAAAGAGCTGAGATCGATGCAAATCCCTGGATATTTGCACTTATTATGAAAAAACGCAGTAACTTCACCCCCACCCCTCCAGGACTGGCAAGGTAGAGTCGGGCACCTCCGTCCCGTGGGTGGAGTGAAGCCATGGTGCCTACCGGTGGCAGATTTCAGGTTGGCCATTTCAGTACCCGGAGCCTTTTAGCAACATTAGCTGGCCTTCCTTTTGCTTGGTGCCCCAGGGCAGGGCAGCCTGGCATCAGTCAGGAGTCCCCTGGCCTTCCCCATTATCCTTTCCCAGGGGGGCTGATGGGAACTGCGGTACAAACTATCCAGACGTTGCCTGGTTGCTCAGGGAAGATTTCCTTTGGCTCCTATTTCCTTGTGGTTTGCATTTGTCTCCCTCCCCTTTTGTATTTTAGATGCCAAAGTTTCTGGAGGCCCCACTTGATCCAGACCGGCTCCCCCCCCCCGTAAATGACTCTCCTTCTCTGACCTCCCCCCCCTTACTCACATCACTGCATGGCAGGGTTAGCCAAATAACGCCTTAAAGAACTTCAAAAAGAATGGCTGAATACCCAGTAATGAAACCAATGAATAATGCAGAGGACAACGGAAACGAAGAGGGAATGTTTGCTTCTGCAAACTTCAGAAATGCAACTATTCTAAACACAGCTGACAAATTTGCTTAGATCTCAAAAATGGTAATTGGGCACGCTGCATTATGTGTAATATTCTTTTCATAGTCTGGATATTGTGAGCTCCAGGGAGGGAAAAGGCCACGGAGCTCCTTTACTCCCAAGTAGCCACCCTTGCACAGCCGAGGGTCAAGCTGGGAACCGCCCCATCTAGTTCGAGGATGCCCCCAAAATAAGTATCTGCAGAAACACTGAGACTTTGCCAAGGACCCCACTCAATGGGGCTTGCAGACTGGAAGATTTGGGGTCCTCTGCAAAAAAAGGGCTGAGGGCTGAATCTTCATCTCAGCCGAGTGGGCAGGCGTTTCTAACGGCCAAGGGAGGGGACTGCAGGGGGCAGGCGTGCCAGTCCTGGCCTCTGTGCCACACTGCCAGGGCCACGTAAGGGCCCCTGCACCAGCGGCAGACCCTGGTGCTGCAAGTCTGCACTCTGGCCAGGATAGGAGAGGCCCCGGGGGGGGGGGCAGGCAGAGCAGCCTTGGCCAGCCACAAGAGGCTCAGCTCAGCCACTGAGCCCGTCTTGGGTAGCTGCTGCCTTTTACCTGGGCTTGCAGTGTTGGGAGTGCACGGATGCTGGAGGACGATGCTGAAGGTGCTCTGGGCGGTGGTGGTCTGGGCGGTGCAGGTGTAGGCCTTTTCCTGGTTGATCTGCACCCGCTGAGAGAGCCGGGCCTCCTGACTCAGGGTGGTGCCTGCCTTCGTGTCCTTCCAGGTGTAGGTTACCTTGTGGCCGGGCCCCATTCCTGCCTCACAGTCCAGGTCAATGTGGCAGGAATTGTTCTCCAAGGAGATCCTTTCGGTGACGTCTGGCAGGGGAGACAGCAGGGAGGCCACTCAGAGGGAGCAGCAGCAGGAGAGAAGACCTAGGATCCTGAAGCAGGAAGGGTTCCTTGAGGCCATCCAGCCTAATTCTCTGAACCCTTCCAGGGAAGCAGAGTCATCCTTCCCTCGAATGCAGAAGCTGTGTTCTAGCTGCACTGCACAATGAACCAGCTTTTGGCCCAGATTTGCTGCTGTTATCTCACACCAACTTTATCTGTTGCAACCATGACATCCTGCTCTTTTGTACAAACTCACAAGAAGTGACTGAGGAACTGAAAGTTCCGTGGAGGAAAAACAATAAACTGAGCAGAGAAACTGCTGTTCAAAGCATTAACCGGGGCAAGGATTTGGCTAGAGAGATCACCAGGCCAGGTCAAGAGATCCGAAAATCAGACCAAGCCAGGCTTGTCTTTGAGAGCATCCCCTTGCTCAGCCTAAAGTAGTGGGACCCCCTCCCCTGCCCCCAGCCTCATATCTCTGTTTCACGCATTAACCGTCATGAAATGGGCTGGACGCAAATGAGGCAGTATGGAACTTGATTTCCTGGAGACCACCTTAGTTCATCCCTTGTGTCGAGATTTCTGCGCTGAGTCCTGCCTTCTCCTAGTTTCAGTACCCAGAGAACCGCGTCAGCCTCCCCACTTCCTCCTGTTCCTCAGGGCAGCCTGAACGGAGGAACCCTCTGTGCAATTGCTACTTGTCTGGGATGCAGGGAAATTCCTTACTGAATACGGCCACCAGGGAGCTGCTGAGCAGCTGTGGGGAGGGGGCGGCGAAGCTGGTGGAGATTTCGTAGGTGTCCCCGTCGCCCAGGCTCAGGTTGGCGATTCTGAAGGCCATCTCGTCCTCCAGGAAGGCCACCCGGCCAGCATAGTGGGTGCTTATAACACTGATCTCTTTCGAGTCCATCCAGATAGCGACGCCTTCTTCCCTCCAGGCGGCCCTCAGGAGGAGGTTGGTGACGCTCTGCCCCTTGGGAATGGCCACGGGCAGCGTGACGGCATTTCCCACACGAACCGACTTCAAGGTGGGCTCAGGTGAGGAGGCTGCTCCTGGAACACACGGGAGAGAGGAGCAAATTCCGACGCCCCTCCCACCCAGGAAAGCCTCCTTGGAGACCCAGAGGGGGGCAACGGGGGACAGGAGAGGCAGCCAATCAGGGGAACCCGTTGATGTGCTTTTGTGGGGGGACAATTTGCAGAAATAAACACTACCCCAACAGCTGTAAAACACCAGCCAGTTCTTTCTCTACCACCTCCTTACCCAGTTTCTTCAAGCCCACACCTGAGAGGTGCTTTCCCCCTCTCCCACCTGTGGTCAGTGCCCCCCCCCCCCAATACTGCATTACGCTTTCTGTCCTCCTGCCGCTGGCCAAGGAACAGCGCCCTCTGCTGCTCAGCCCCACAAACTGCGACCCCTTGGTCCCCTCCAGTTCGCCTGGATTCGGTGTAAGCTGACAAAGTGGCCCTCGACTTGTTTGGTCCCTGGCCCCAAGGGACGTTGGGCTTTCCTGCTGGACAGAGACCCGCCCAGAGGAGCATTGTGCCCATCTGTGTCCCGGGTGAAGAAGCCGAAGGAGGGGGAGGATTAAAAGGATGAAGGGCACAGCCACAAACAGCCACTTTTGAAAGCCGCCTGGCTGAGCAAAAAGCAAAGCCCATGCGAATCTGGAGGCTCCAAAGAAGAGCACCTCTGAGCATGGGAAAAGTGCCCTTGGAGGAAGAACCCCGGCTGTGACATCGGTTGCCCCTGGCCATCCCCAGCAGGAGAGGCACCTCGTAGGGCCCTTCCCGTGGCTCACCTGCCGAGCTGAGCAGCAGGAACCCCAGGAGGAGGATGCCGGAGCTCATGTTGGCCCTTCGGAGACAAAAGTGCCAATTGAGTCACAAGGAAACGGGCGTCTCCTCTTCCCTCCCCTCCCCTCCCAAGGAGGAACTCGCTCATTTCTGGGGGTGGTCTGGAGAGAAAATCACATGCCTCAGCTCTGCTTCTGGAGAAAGGAAGCCTCGGCTGAAGGAGAACCCCCCCCCACTTGGCCAAATGAAGAGGAAGCCTCTGACACAAAGCGGAAAGGAGCAGCCCCAGCCCAAGAGAGGCCTCTGCCCTGGGCGAAGGCTACTCATCCCCGCTGCCCTCCTGAGCTGATTTATTTTGTGGGTGTGGTTAGTGTTTTAAGGTTTTTAAAATTGTTTTAAACGCTTTATGATTTTAGAATTGTAAGCTGTCCAGAGTTGGATGGCTATAGAAATAAAATAAAATAATAAAATATAATAAAATAATAAAATAAAATAAATATAAAATAAAATATAAAATAAAATAAAATAATAAAATAAAATAAAATAATAAAATAAAATAAAATAAAATAAATATAACATGCCTGGGCTTAATTCTGGCATATAAATTTAACAAACAAATAATTCCCAGGGTCCAACTGGAGGGCTCAAGGCCTGCCCAGAACTAAGAAGAAAGCTGCCTCCCCCGCCCCCCCCATGAAGCTTGGTGTTGTTAGTTGCAAAGTCCTGTCCGACCCATCGCAACCCCATGGACAATGTTCCTCCAGGCCTTCCTGTCCTCTACCATCTTCTGGAGTCCATTTAAGCTCATGCCTGCTGCTTCAGTGACTCCCTCCACCCACCTCCTTCTCTGTCGTCCCCTTCTTCTCTTGCCCTCCATCTTTCCCACCATTAGGCTCTTCTCCAGTGAGTCCTTCCTTCTCATTACGTGCCCAAAGTACTTGAGTTTCAACTTCAGGATCTGGCCTTCTAAAGAGCAGTCGGGGTTGATCTCCTCTAGGACTGACCGTTTGATCGCCTTGCAGTCCAGGGGACTTGCAGGAGTCTTCTCCAGCACCAGAGTTCAAAGGCCTCCATTCTTTGGCACTCAGCCTTTCTTATGGTCCAACTTTCACAGCCATACATTGCAACTGGGAAAACCATGGCCTGGACTATACGCACTTTTGTTGGCAGGGTGATGTCTCTGCTTTTCAGCATGCTGTCTAGATTTGCCATAGCTTTCCTCCCCAGGAGCAAGCGTCTTTTAATTTCTTGGCTGCAGTCCCCATCTGTGGTGATCTTGGAGCCCAGGAAGCTTAACTTCTGGGAAAAGCACACAGTTTGCACTGTTTGTACAATTTGAACAGTTTGTGCAACTTCCAGCTTAACAGACAATCTCATTGTACACATGTTGTCCTTTGACAATAAAGGATTTTAACATTTAACATTAACACCTGAAAAACCTGTCCAAACTCACTGGCCCCCTTTTCAAGCTCAGCGTAGCACAGACTGGGGGGGGGGGCAGGGAGGGAGGAGGGAGGCTCTGTGGTTTTCCAGAACAGAGACTGCAGGTGACATCACCACCAGCCAAGCATCTCTTCTCGTTTAACCAAAGCCGACCAGTCAGGCAATCAGAGTCCTCCAAGTGTTGCCATTGGCGGTATTTCAGTCTCGGGGGGGGGGGGGGGAGGGGAGAGGGGGGAGGCAGCCTCACCCAGACCCTGGACCCTGCAAGGTCTTTTCTACAAGGTCCCCCTCCCCCTGCTCCCCCCCGGGCACAGTGGACTCAGTGCTGACCTCCGTGATCCCAGAGAGGTTTCCCGGGACACAACGGGACCCATCCTCCCTGCCTGCCAGCTGTGGACCGAACTCTTTAGCGGTTCTGCCTTGGTGGCCTTCGGTGCTTGTTCGGAGTCGAAACCCGGCGCCGGGGCTGCTTTGCTGGGGACTCGCTGTTTGCTAGACGGTGTGGCTGACCTGCTGGATAAATCTGCCGTTTACTGCAGCTTTATGCTTTGGGGGGGGGCGCCGGGGGGCTTTGCCAGTCCAGAACAGGACACCGCTGGGTAGTGGTGGAAACTGGCCGCGAATGAGGCTGAGGGAGAAATCAAGCGAGGGGGACGAGGAAGTGCCATCCAGGGCCTTGAGCCTCAAGCCTGCCCAACTGGAGGCCCCTGACGGCAAAGAGGACTTCGGAAGCTGCCAGAGCCCTGGGAGGCAGAGCGCGTTGGGGACCGAAGCCCCACGGGACCACCCCTTCAGAAACGCCCCCGTGCCCTGCTTGGAGGCCAACGATAAAGTGATTTAATTACGTCACTATCTATTAAAGCAACGTCTCCAAGACATTTGAAAATCTGACTCTTTAACTTGTTTTTATTTAGTGATTTTGTTCTAAACAGAAGAAAACAGCTCCCTTTCACCCGCCAATAAAATTGGACTTTTAGTGCAAAAAAGTCTTCTTCAGTGGATAAAAACCTTCATATTTATGAAGTACAGTACATAATTACTAGGCACAAAATAAACGTTTTAAAAAACGGGAATCAGATTAACATGCAGTTTCAAACGTCTGTCCTTATTGGTGTGTGTGTGTTTTTTTGTGTGTATGTAACAAATTCCAGAGAATCCTGTTGATTCAGCCACACAAAGCTAAATCTAGGAGAGTCTGGTAGCATAAAGGGCCGGAGAAATGACCACTGGTCAGTGGTTATGGCCAGCTTGGACTCTGACCAGGAATCCTCCTTTCCTTTGCTCCTTCTTTATTTGCTTCCCACACCTCTCAGCAAGTTTCACAACCCCCTCTGGGTGTGTTTGTTTGTGCCTGGCCTGAGACAGGACAGGACACCAACTGGGCTACCTCCCATGGCTGAGCGGCCTGCATCTCCTTCCTCTTTCCGAGAAGCTCAGAGTGACTGTTTTCTTAAAATGCCCAGCTCGCCTTCTGACACAGTGCCACAAATGGCACCCAGGATTTTTCACAAAATGTGTCATTGCACCACCCCAGTTTTTGTATTACATCGATTTTTTTCTTCCTAAGTTCCCTTTTTGTTTTCCTATCTGCATGCGTGAACCCCAAATATCTGAAAGAAACACTGGGAACTTTCCTCTGCTCTGTCTTTCTTCTTCTGCGCAGCATCTTCGTTTCCCCCAAATAAAAATGCTCTTACTTTATTCCAGGCCTGCAGATCTGGTGGGACCAACCTTCCGCCTGTGGGGAAACTGGGAGGACACCCAACCCTGAAATATCCTGGCCTTGGAAGGAAGAGGAAAGAAAGAAGGATTGAGGCAACCTCTTCCTCCTCCCTCTTTCTGTCTCCCAAAACTTTACGGCCGGATCTCCAGTAGATCCAAACGGATTTGAATGGCAAATACTGATCCAGCTGGTCTCTCCAGATCTCCAGGTCTTCCATTCGCCTTGCATTCACCTGGGGGTGCAACAGAAGAAAACAGACCGAACACGACTCTGTGAAATTGAGGGGGAAGGGTAGCAATTCGTTTTGTAGCTTAAACTCATGCGCAAGTCAGGAACGAGGATCTTTAGGCCAAGAAAGCACATCTCAATCTACCTATGAAGTGCTGTTGTTAGGTATGTGTCCAGGCAGGGTGCAAACTTAAAAAAAAGAAAAGAAAGAAAAGAAGGAAGGAAGGAAGGAAGGAAGGAAGGAAGGAAGGAAGGAAGGAAGGAAGGAAGGAAGGAAGGAAGGAAGGAAGGAAGGAAGGAAGGAAATTTGAAGCAGTGGGAGGGAGGGATGAGGACCGCAGGGTAATCTATGATTAACTTCCTTTTTTGGTGCCGACCGCCTTGTGTCTGCTCTTTCACTTGTTTTTGACAAAGTGCAACCTCACTCCTTCACTCTTTTCTTCTTTGCTTTGTGTTTTGAGTAGCAACATATAGATCATTTATATAAATAAACATATATAAATATCACAACAGACATTTACATCCCAAGAGGAAGCTACACTCTCCCTCTCTCTCTTGACGTGCAAAACACCAGTCTGGGCTCTTCTGCTCCCCACAGAAATCGTCCAGGCCAGGCCAGCTCGATTCCTTTCCAGAGCCAGCAGTGTTGACCCACCTCCCCCACAGCCCAGTCAGCCCCCCTGTCCGTGGCTGCTGCAGATCAGCGGTTTCCAGCACCACCTGCTCCTCCAGCTGTGGGAGACCCTCTGGACCCAACAGCTCCCCTGCAAAGGCAGGAGATGAGCTCTTCTTGGGGGTGACCCTGACTGACGTGGGCCTCCACCTGCAAACAGGTGTGTGCCCAAAGCGACTTCTTCTCCCCCGGAGCGGATTTTTTTCTGGCACACTTTGGGGAGCTGGCAGATTCCCCCTTGGCCAGGCACTTTGCAAGCAGGCAGGATTGTTTTAGCTTCAAAGTCCATGAAACATTTTGTGCCTCAGTTTTCCTTCTGCATTTGCTGAAATATTTATCCTACCTTTTGAAAGAAAATACTTGGATTGAGTTTGGCTGGATGAAAGTGACAAGGATGAAGCTTTATGTTAGCTTGAGGAAAAGGCACCGCCAGCCAATTTTTAACTAGCATGGAATCAAGTGGGTTTCCCCAGCTGACAGTGCCCTTCTTCGTCTTCCCAGTTTTATTTTTCTTTTCTGCTACTCTTTGTCTTGCTAGTAGGGAGGGCCCACTTGCTCTGGGTTGCTGCCTCTCCTTCATTCTCCTTCCTGGGCTTAAAAAGTGCAGCATTTTGATGGTTTACAGTAATAACAGAAAAACTGCAGCTGTGTGTGTGTGTGTGTGCACGCACGCACAGAGGCCAGGACCCTTAGAGTCCCTCCTCAAGGCTCCAGCCACCTGCGACTTGGGGATCCCAAGCTTTTGGAGGTCCATAACTGGGATCCCATGACCCAACGTGGCCGGAGCAGAGCTGTGTCCACAGAAGCCTCACTCCCAGGGCGCTTCAGCCACAGCCACTTTCGGGCCTGCCTGCCTCACTGGTGGTGCATTCAGCTGCTCTGGTGAGCCCGGCCTCAGCCACTCCGCCTGTTTTTAGAAAAGGGGAAAATAGAAGCACAGAGGAGGAGGAAGAGTTCCTTTTGTTGGGGGCTCTTCTGTGGAGAATAAAAGCAAGGCTGCCTTCTGTTTTGGGGAGCCTCTCCCCCCTCTGCAACCGATGAGGCTGGCAGGAGAGTAGGGGCCACCACAGCCGGGGAGGAGGGAGGGAGGCTGCAAGGGACGCCTAGAAGCTACGGAAGACCAGTTGCCCCCAGGAGGGCTCAGACGTTGCTGATCCGCACACTCAGCGGGGTGCTTTCCCGCTCGGCTCTCTCCCGGAACGATTCCTCCAGCTTCAGCTTCTCAGGGTCGCCAAACCGCGTGGTTTCGTGGAGGCAGCACGGAGGGGCCACCTTGATCACTTGCTCGAACAGGCTGAAGTCGGCCACGTACTTCCCGCTGGCTGAGAGAGAGATGACCGGGGTAAACTCGTAGCCCCACAGGATCTCCTCCGGGAGGTAAGAGGTGCGGACCTGGCAGGTGGCGCTGGTGGACTCCACGGTGCCGCTGAGGATCACCACCAGCTCGAAGTCGCCCTCCCCCGTGCGCAGGGCCAGGTCCCGGAAGGGGCTGCACTCGTTCACCACGTGGTAGAAGGTGAGGGGCAAGATGAGGAAGGGGCTGTCGGAAGACGTGTCTATTTGGAAATTCACATTGACCTGGTTCAGCCGGACGTTCTCACCTTCCTTGGTGAGGTAGGTCTGAAGGAGTTTCCCCGTGACCTGGCAGCCGATCAAGAGGCTCTTCCGCATGTTGGCTACCCGGATCATCAGGCAGGTTTTGCCGTCGTGCTGAGCCACCACGGCGTTCTGGCTGAACTTGATGGTCTCAGCCCTCTTTTTGGGCCGAGCGATCTTGGCTAGGAAGGTGCCGGTGATGAAGATCTCCATGATGGTGGTGAGGACCAGCTGGCTGATGAGCAGGACGATAGCCAGAGGGCACTCCTCGCTGATGTAGCGGAAGCCATAGCCGATGGTGGTCTGGGACTCCAGGGAGAAAAGGAAGGCCCCGGTCAGCGTGTGGACCTGCATGACGCACGGCGTGTGGTTGGCTGGAGGGCCGAACTCCAGCAGGTCCCCGTGCAGCAGGGCCACCAGGTACCAGACGACCCCGAAGAGGAACCAGGTGCCGGCAAAAGAGGCCGAGAAGAGGACCAGCTTATAGCGCCACTGCATGTCGATGAAGGTCGTCCAGAGGTCCTTCAGGTACAGGAAGCGCTTGTCCGCGATGTGCTCCATGCGCACGTTACTTCGCCCGTCCTTGGTCATGACCCGCCTCTTCCGCAGCACTGGGCCAATCAGGGGGTGGCTGTCGGTTTGGGTGGTCTGGCTGTAGTACACCTTGGTGGCTGAGGTCATCTGCGCAGAGGAGAGAGCAAGAGGGAAAGAGGGGCAGGTAAGGAGGGCTCATGCCAGAGGGATGTGGGGGGCGGGCGGGAAATCACACATGTATTGAGGATGAACCACAAAAGAGCAGTAAATCCCCACAACATCTGTCCGGGGGGGGGGAGCATGAAATGGCACTCCTTGCCAACCCACTATTCTTCTACAGTTCTACAGTCTTCTGACTTTTCTTGAGGGGCTCTTGACCCCCTCTACAGCCCCCATTGTTCACAGTCTAATGGATTCCTAGCACTTTGACTGTATTGATATCCACCCCTCCTCCTTCCTTCCCTGCGTGTGGAGCCCAATGAATTGTGGGGAAAAAACAAAGAGGCTGAGTCTCCCCCTCCCTCCCCCCCCCTCACACACACAGAGTATGATGCCCATTGAATGATTGTCCATTCTTCAAGCTCCGCCCCCTTTAATCCTGTTCCCAGCAAAAAGAAAACATCCTTCTGGTTGCTTGAAAGAGCCTTTTAACAATCAGTGAATGAACCACCATCCTGGGGACCCCTCACCCCTGCCCCACCATATTTGTGGGAGGAAAGTGGCCCCCTGCATGGACCCCCATGTGCCTCTGCCCTTCCTGGAGCCACAGCCCAGAGACCCCCTGCTCTTTGGCCAGAGCAAACTCCCCATCTTCCCAGACAGACTCGGGGGGCATCTGAGCCTTTACGGAGGGTGCTGTTTGCCAGATGCCATGAAGCTGCACCTGTTGAAATGCTGCTTTTCTTTTCTGCCCAAAACAGCGCCTTCTCACTCTCACCTCCCCCCGCCAATCTGGCCCCCACACGGCCCAAAGCGGTCCCTCGAAAGGCCCCATAAGTGGCTGCTGTTAACATCTTGGAGGCATTAAACATTAACTCGGTGTGCTTCGGCCTGCATTCATTAGGCAGGGAACGAGGCGGCCACAGTATGTAAAAGTTTACAGCCTGTTTTACAAGAGGAACATAATATATAACTATTTTTCCTCTAGAAAACCTGGCCGGGGCTTAATCTCCCGAAGATTGCCTTCTGCCTGGGATCCTGGCTGCCTCAGAGCTGGACTGCAAAATAAATGGCCTCATGCTGTCTTCCGAGCACCCGGGATTTTCAGAGAGACGGATTCGGAAGGGGAGCGAAGGGAGAATGCCAGGCCTCTCATCAGCCAGCCTAAAGCTCTCTGCTGAACCAGGGAGGGGTTCGGGGGGGGGGGCTTACGCCTCTTTCTTAAGGCTTCAGGCGGTTCCCTCCCCCTCCCCAATCTGGCGGTATCTGAGGAAGCCAACCAGCCACCCCTTCTGAAAGTGGCACCCAATGATGCCTTCCAGAGGCCGGGAACCAACACAGCAGCTCCTTCCTCGCCTTCAGCAAATGTGGTTAAACTGTAAGCAGAGGTTGCTTTAAAAGCTGGCGCTGCGCGCACGTTTCTCCCTCCAGGGCAGCTGGGTGGCACTCAGAACAAGCATCAGCTTGTTAAAACTTGTGTTGGGCTTCGAGGGGTCTGGCTGGGGCAGGGAACCCACCAAAGTGGGGCAAGGCCAGCCGGCGTCCCTCCGCCTCTCAGTCAAGGCTGGGCTGGACAGCGTTCTGGAGGTGACTTCCATCCAAACGGCTCGCCCTTCGCGTCCCAGCTACTCTTGCGGCCATGCTGGCCCTGTGGAACTTTGGCAGCCTGCGATAACCATTCCCATCATGCTCAGCAGCATGGCTGGCAGGTCAAGAATCAGGGAAACACAGGAAACACAGGGAAGGGTTTTGTAGTCCTGCTCCTCCTCTCCGCAAAGGAGCCCTGCTGCCCTCCCTCTGGCCAGTCGACCCCCTTTCTCCAGCCCTCAGTGCTCTCTCCTGGGATACGGCTAGCCGCATCCGTCCCTTCCATTGGCTCGGACCCATTGCAAGGCCCAGGAGGGGAGGGCAACGTGGGCCGAGGCTCCCCACTGGACCTCTGCAGATATTGGAAACCGCCAAGCTCAGTTGCCCGGATCCGGCCAGGCTTGTGGGGAGGGGGAGGAGATGGGGGGGGAGTAAAAGCATTTGACTGTTTGGTAAGAAGAGCAGGCAGGACAGAAGCCCCATTGTCTGCCCCCCAGGAAAAGGCCTGAATGGAGCTTGCAAGAGACAAAAAGCGCTTTGAGAAGCCAGCTCTTTAGTATGCGAGGGGGAGCTGCGGTCTTCTCTCCTTGCCTCCCCTTCCCTCCTCTCCTGGACACCCCAGTGGGCATGAGTCCTGCCACTGGAGCTCCTCCGGCCGTGTTCATGGCACCCCCCCCCCGGGATTCACCTGTTCTGACTCCCAGCTCACTGCCAGCACAGGGGGCCCAGCAGGGCCCTTGCCTCCTGCGCCTCTCTGCTTGCCAAGCATGAGGGGGGGGGCTTGGATTGCCCCCTGCAGGAGGGCCAGGAAGAGCCAAGCTTGCCACGTCGCTCAGAGTCTGTTGGGCACTTCCGCTGCTCTCTTAGAGTTGGGGGCTTCTGGGCTGTGGCCGGCCCCTCCACCTCTCAGGGAAGCCAGGCACGCTTGCCTTGCTTGACCAAATCAGGCGGCCATTTACACAATGCTTCACGCTGTTCAAATGATCTCAGCTTCCCTAAAGTCAGGCAGGAAATCCGCAAAAACAAAACAAAACAAAACAAAAAAACCCTAAACCCCCAATAGGTTGGCCTCATTTTAGTAGGAAAGAGAGCACTCCCCCAAATTTACACTCAGATATACAAAATACAAATACTCCTGGCCTTGGCATCCCTGCTCTGTCCACCACAACCTTTGCCCTGGCAAGGCCAAACGAAATAATTAAATTAGCTGCCTTGAGGCTACAAAATTTATCCAGGGAAAACGACGTGGCCTCAGGACTTGGCCTCAGCCCGGAATGCTGGCAGAGAAAGAGGGAGAAACTTCAGGAAAGGGAGAGAGACCCTTTCTGGGAAGGTGAGGAGACACTTAAGAAAGACCAGCAGGGCCAGCAAGAGAGCGTCTGAATGTGGCCCACCTGGAGGGCTTCTGGCTGGGAAGGGCCACGGCATCACTTAGGGAGGATTTTTGTGAAGTGGAAGTTGGAATCAGACTTGCTCCTCTTTCTCCCTCCACCCACCCTATTTTCTTCAGAGGACCCCCGTCCCCCTTTGGAAGGAGTGCCACAGCCCACCCACCTTTCAGAAAGGGTCAGGAGGTTTTCGGTCTCCTATTTTGGGGAAAGCCCAGCAGCGGGGGAGGGGGCACGCCTCTCCCCATCTAACTCCAGACAGAGACCTCAGGGCGGTGAGATTCCCTGCAAAGATTTTGGATTTCCCACGCGGAACATCCCACATCCATGCATGTTCTCTGTTCTCGGCCGAGTCCATGCAGCCGTCTCCCTCAGGGAGAGGGCTCTGAGACCCTGGGAGGGGTGACCTTGCCAAAAGAAGAAGGGAAGGGAGCGCCGTTTGTCCCCCAAGAAGGACCCGGGCAGGCAGAGCTTGCTACGACTGTCTAAAACAGAGACGGCTGAATTCTGTGCTTTTGTGTGGGTTGCATCCACCCCCATCACCTGCTGAAACTCCAGAAGGGGCTACTTAGAGAACCCCCTCCTCCTCCTCTCGTCTCCAGCCCCACTCCGTCGGAAATGCCAGCAAGAGGGGGCCCGACCCGGGAGAGGGGGACCTTTTGAACCCTCCCATGTCCGCCTGCCCACGTCCAAGGCTGGACCGCCTTACCTTGAGCTGGGGGAAGGCTTGGACTGCAAGCTGGGGGACCCTCACCTCGAGAGGACCTCCTCTCAGCACCCGCCTGATTGGGTTCTCCAAGCGGCCGGTGGGTGAGTCCTTCTCCGCGCAGGGCTGGGGGCGCAGAGGCTGTGGGGCAGAGAGAGGTGAGGCGCTTCCAGCATCAAATCAGCGTCGCCCGGCTCTGCAAGGCTGAGCCTCCCCCATGGATGTTATGCCTCCTTTCCCCCTCTCGGCCTGACAAAAGTTTGTTCAACTTCAAGTGAATGAAAGGATTATTTTTTTAAAGGAGGGGGCAGCCGAGGGAGGCGACTGACGTCCTCAGCCGGCCTATCAGATGAGAGCCTCGCCAGAAATTGTGGAGAATGGAGAAGCAGGAGGAGCAGGAAAAGTGGAGAGTGCGACAGAAAGGAAAGAGGGACAGAAAAAGAAAGAAGGGAGAGAGGACTTGGCCATGGACTGGAGGGGAGGGGAGGAGGGGCCCCCACTGGAAAAGCCAGGGGGTTAAAGTTTTAGTAGGAAGTTAATGAGGTGGAAATCAAGGCTCTCCATCCAGGCTAAGGGTCACAAGGCGAGGCGGGCAGTGGCGGTCGGTGCGGTGGAGGAGAGCCAGAGAGAGCAATAGGCTTTAAAAGCCACTTCCCCTCTGCTTGCAGGGGGCCGTTCATCTCTGTCCAGGCGCCTTTGCTGGCGATGACACAGAGGAGACAGCTGCCCCACAGGATGGGCATATAGCTGGGGAGGGGGGGGCTGGGACTTCTGCGCACTTTGGGTCAATTCAGGCAGAGCTCTGCCTGCTTCTCCTCCGTGCTGTGCCCCCCACCCCCAGTGGAGAGAGAAGCTGAACGTGCCTGGGAGTGCCCTCCCTCCCTGCATGCAGCCCCTGCCCCACAGGGGGCCTCCCCCCACTGCTCCCCACAAGCCAGAGTGAGCAGGAGCATGAGAGAAGGCCCCCTATCAGTGACTTCAAGTCCACAGGAAGGAGCTCATCTGGGCGGGAGTAGAGCGCCCATGTTCAGGGGGCTCCAAAGTCCTCGTTGCCTGGTCTGGAGCAGAGGGACCCCCAGGGGCCACTGCCCTGACCGGAGGCTGCAGAGCATCTGGGAGCCCTTCCAGGCCCTCAGCAGGTCCCTGCGCCTCTGCCTGTCAAGAAAGATCTGACCCAGTTGGGTGGGGAAGCGGTTGGGGTGTTCTTGATGTGTTTCTCATGTGATATATTTGCTGTTATCCTTGATATCCTATGCCGGCTTCTTTCACGGGTTCCGCCCATCATGGAACTGGCAGCTAAGCAATTGGATCGGTATATATATCCCCTGCGTGAGAAGAGCAGCTGGCCTCATCCTTCTCATTCACTCCCTTCCTTGCTCTGCACAGCACCAGAGACCCTTTGGGTGTCTGGGGAGAATCGGGACCCTTTTCTGCCTTTGCCGTAGGGAACATTTTAAGCAAAGGTAGCACAGGACGCAGCCATCACACTGGACCCCCGTGCCTGATCACCTTTGTGGACAGGAACCAAATACTTCCAGTGAAAAATAGACTCTCCTTTAAATCAGGTGTCTTGGAAGCAAAAGGAGGGGAAGCGCCAGTCCTTTTTCCTGAATGCAAGCCCTCAGCGCTCTCCTACTCAAGCCTTAACCCGATCCAACTCCACGACCTTCTTTCAGGATCAGCCCAGGCTGACTAGGAGCTGTAGGGCAGCACTGAGTTGGTGTCCCTGAGCAAGGACCCTTAAGGGCCACAGTTTGGGCAATGGGCCCTTGAAGTGCTCAGCCTCCCTTTGGGAGATGCCAATCACTGCTTTGGTCAAAAGTTGGCATTGCTTTCATCACAGGTCGACCCTCCTTCTTTGCTTTGTGAGGGTCCTGCAAGGAAGACCCTCCCCCCTCCCCCCCAGATCTCCCACCCGGACAGGGTGTGGGCGAGGGAAGGCTGCAGTCAGGAAAGCCCCATGGCCCAGGGGCCGAGGAACATCACCTTCCAAGGCAAGGGGAACCTCTGGAGCTCAGTATCTAGTCTCAGCTCCCCAGATCAATAAAATAAAATAAAATAAAAAATCCTGGAAGGCGAATCAGCTGCCTTTCTGCCTCTTTTAAGAGATGCCTCTTTCTCTTCGTTGTCTTGCATCGCTGGCAGGAGGCTATGCCAGCTGGTGATTATGTCAGCTGCAGTCCACCAGCCCCGCGGGGACCTCGCTTGGGAAGCATGGGTCTGGAGCTTTACTTGAGACCATCAATTGCCAGCAAGGACCCTGCTCCCCTCCATTGCCTGCTGGTCGAGGCACCGCAGGTTTTCACGTGCATCCCCGTGCAGTTTCAGCATCCCAGCCGGAGGACGTCCAGAGCAGTTGCCTTGGTGACGGTAGGGAAGAAAGGGCGCCTGGGAAGGGGGTAGATGACACACATCGGGAGGGAGGGAGAGGAAGGGAGATCTGGCTCGGAGCTGAGCTAAATTTAGGAGGAAGCCAAGGAGGAGGAGGAGGAGGAGGAGGAGGAGGAGGAGGAAGCGGGCCCGGGCGTCTGGGTCTGGGCTTCGCCCCCGGCCAGGGATGTCCTGCGGGCGGCGGACGAGATGAGTGTGCGAGGCGGGGCCGCTGCAATCGCCCAGTCCGGAGCGCGGAGCCGTTTCAGCACCAGCAGGTGAGGACAGCTCCGGCCCGTTGCTGGCCTGATGGGGGAGGGGGGAGGGGGGAGGGGGAGGGGGAGGCTGGGGTCCCTGGCAGAGAGGCGGCTCTGCCCGAACGGGGGGGGGGGTTGCATGTCGGTCCTTCCTGTTCCGGGGGCTTCTGAGGTCCCCCAATTCGATGGAGCCTTCTTTTCAGGAATCAGGGACAGCTGAGGTCTGGCGCCTTCTGGTGTGTCCTTCATTGGAATAGCAATCCTGTTGGATAGGCCGTCTTTGGTGAAATTTGGGGGAGGGAGTAGGATTTGAATATAGGTGTGCTCCCCCTAAAACGTGGGTTGGGCTCGCAAAACAGCCTTGTGGAGTAGGAACAGGAGAAGCAAAGGTTGTGCTTGAGAAAAACCTGCAGTTCTATGAACTTTACCAGGCTTTCTTTTCCATGTGGATGTCAACATGGTTATCACTATTCATCTGATTTCCTAGTAAGAACATCCTTAGGCTAAATAAATGATATTTCACCCAAACTCAGGAGACACCTCCGGAGCCAGAGCGATTTGGAGCCTGCCAGGCCTGACGTGCGCATGGGACTATGCCTGCAGCCTCAGCTCAGCACGGGGCTCATTTTGTGGGCCCCTGGCACAAGGGTTGAGTGTGTGGGACCCCCGATGGCCAGCAGGACCCCACCCAGGCCCTGTGTCCCCCAGGGGGAGAACAAGGTGCCTCAGCTAACCACTGACACACGATGGAGTGGATGGGACCAGTAGGGCCGGAAGATCAGTGGGCTTGAGGTTGGGGACCCCTGAAGAGCAGCCATCCTCCCCCCACCCAAAAGCACATTTCTGTTTCCTTTCTCTGATAGAACATGTGACATGGAGGCTGAGTAGGGAGGCCTGACACTCAACAAGTTCACATCTGCAGCTGCCAACTCAGTCCCTGCCCTGGAGGAGAAGGGGAGATAAATAGGGCTTCATGAATACCCCTCCCCCACCAGCCCAGGAAAAATGGAAATGGACCTTGCTAGGGCAGAGAACAGGCCCTTGTTCCCACAGCAGTTCCCAAGCAGATTCTCTTTTACGGTCCCTGAAGAGGAGGAGAAGCTGAAAACATTTCCCAGGCTCTCACCCCTCCTTCAGACAGACTCCAGCCCTGGAGTTCCTCTCGACCCCATCAAAGCAGGAGTGGCCTCACTCTCCTCCGTGGGTTTGCCCAATTCCCACGTTTACGAAACCAGCAATTTTTCCTGCACAAGAAGCTTGTCTAAAAGCAGGCGCTGATCCTCCCATCCAGAATCTGTGACCGGGCAGAGTCTCTAGATAACCCGAGTTCAAGGAGGAGAGACAAAATCTCTCTTCCTGCCACCCACCCACCCACCCACCCAGTTCTCTCTTTTCTCTCCCCCTGAATCTCCCAAGCTGGCTCAAGGGTCACTCGCCTCCCAAGGAAACAGCCTGGAGAATATTTACAGAGGAGAACCTTTGCTCATTTTAATGGCACAACATCGATCAGTTTCACAGTGTGGGCACTGCTCAAAAATAGCCCGCCTGCTAATTGGAGAAGGCCATCTGGGTATTTTCTTGGCTGCTGGAGGTGCCCTCCGCCTTCCCTTCTCCTGCTTGCCTTGCGGGAAGTGTGGTGGCAAGGGACGGCTCTGCAGCAGAGCAGAGTAGCCTAGCTCCTGGAGAACAACAGACCGAGCAAACATTTTAAGCCTCCTCCCCCCCCCCAGACCCTTAGTCTCTGGCAGGATTTGCTCTTTGCTCTGCCTCTGCTCTGGACTCCCAAACCATTCACAGATTTTGAAATCCTCAGCAAAGATGGACAACACGAAGGGACTGTGTGCACGCAAAGGGTGGAGTCTGCCTGTGTGCCCTGTTTGCTTGCAATTGTGCGAAGCCAACACTTAAATGGTCAGCTGACGAGTCAATGTTTTGCACAGACCGAGAGAGTGTGTGTCCAAGGGCAAAGTTCAGCCTGCGGAGCATCCGCAGACGCCCAGGAGCCTCCTGGGAACATGGTCCAATATTCAAGCTCTGCTTCCCAGGTGGGTGCCCACAAAGAGCGCTCACCACCCTTCTTTTCACACACCCCAACCAGCCCAACTGTGGGCTTTAAGACATCCGCTCTCCAAAGCAGCCTAGTAACACTCAGTTTTGCCCCGGAGAGATTCTTTCTCTGCACCATCTGTGGCTTTCCCCATGCTGTCCTCCTCACGCTGTGCTCTGGCCTGGGTTTCCTTGCAGATCTGGAGGCCGCCTAGTGCTACGATGGCCAAAGACAACTCGGCTTTCTCTGCTTTGCCCAAGACCCCCATCTCTGAGGGCAAAGCACCCCTTTCCTCACAGCCGGCTAAGTCGGCGGCCTTGCGGCGCCTGGGCGAGGGCCCTGAGAAGGCCGAGAAGAAGCGTGGGCGCCAACGCTACGTGGAGAAGGATGGCAAGTGCAACGTCCAGCATGGGAACGTGCGAGAGACCTACCGCTATCTTACTGACATCTTCACCACGCTGGTGGACCTGAAGTGGCGCTTCAGCCTGCTGGTCTTCATCCTGGCCTACGCGGTCACCTGGCTCTTCTTCGGCCTCATTTGGTGGTTCATTGCCTACTGCCGAGGCGACCTGGACCACCTGGGGGACGACGCCTGGACCCCTTGTGTCAACAACCTCAATGGCTTCGTCTCGGCCTTTCTCTTCTCCATCGAGACCGAGACCACCATTGGCTACGGGCACCGGGTCATCACCGACAAGTGCCCCGAGGGCATCGTGCTGCTCCTCCTCCAGGCCATCCTGGGCTCCATGGTGAACGCCTTCATGGTGGGCTGCATGTTCGTCAAGATCTCCCAGCCCAACAAGCGGGCAGAGACGCTGGTGTTTTCCTCCCATGCCGTCATCTCGCTGCGGGATGACCACCTCTGCCTCATGTTCCGGGTGGGGGACCTGCGCAACTCCCACATCGTGGAGGCCTCGATCCGGGCCAAGCTGATCAAGTCCAAGCAAACGCAAGAAGGGGAGTTCATCCCCCTCAACCAGACGGACCTCAGTGTGGGCTTCGAGACGGGTGACGACCGCCTCTTCCTGGTCTCCCCGCTGATCATCAGCCATGAGATCAACGAGCACAGCCCCTTCTGGGAGGTGTCCAAGGAGCAGCTGCGGAAGGATGAGTTTGAAGTCGTGGTCATCCTGGAAGGAATGGTGGAGGCCACAGGTAGGTGGGCAGGGGCTGCGGGATCTCTGGGCTCCCTGATGGGGATGCTGCCAAAAGAGGGGTGCCCTTCCCTGAGGCTGGAGGGGGAGGGAGGAGAGCTGGCCATGAAAAGCAACTTCAGCTCAGGTGTATCCCCATTTTCAAGTGAAGGGTTTTTGGCTTGGTTTCTTCCCCCCCCCCCCGCCAGTCCTAGCCAGGTGCCTGGGGTGGCCTGTGGCATTCATACCCTCCATTAAGAAGGCTTTGGGAAGAGCTCCCAGCCTCGGATGGGTGTGAGAAGGGTCCATCCCACTGGGTTCAGGAGAGCAAAATTAGGATTGTATAGGTGCATTAGAAATTAATAGATAACTGGTAGCTCATGGAAGAGGCTGACGCCATCCTACCCAGCGTCCCAGCATCCACAATTCCCTTGCAGGGATGACGTGCCAAGCGCGGAGCTCCTACCTGGTGGACGAGGTCCTGTGGGGACATCGCTTCATGTCGGTCCTCACCTTGGAGGATGGATTTTACGAGGTGGATTACAACAGCTTCCACCAGACCTTCGAGGTGCCCACCCCCAGCTGCAGTGCCCGGGAGATGGCGGAGGCCGCAGCTCGCATGGACGCCCACCTGTACTGGTCCATCCCCAGCCGGCTGGATGAGAAGGTGGAGGAGGGGACAGAGAAGGGGGACGCGGGGGACAAAGAGAGGAACGGGAACCTCACCAGCACCGAGAGCGAGTCCAAGGTCTAACAGGCCTCCGGACGGACAGAGCAAGCCAGGAGGCCTGGGTGGTGGCACAAGGCGGCCAGAGGGGGCAGGGGAGCCATCTGGGCAAGCAAAGGTGCCCTCTGGCTGGTTTGGACCTTGGGGTTATCAGCACAGACTGCAAAAGAGAGACTCAACCGGGCAGCTGTTCTTGAAAGTGCCCGTGTGCAGGGAAGGCAGCAACTGGAGCCATGAGGAGGCAACGTGGAACTGGAAACCATATTCAGTGGGGGTCCAGACCCACTGCTAGGAAAGACGAGGCCCTTGGGACGGCAGTGGGGCCCCAAAGATGTGCCCCTGTGGCTTTCTCAGCAGTGAGACCGAGGGGGCTTTGGCCTTTCCTGATTCCTAGGCTTCCCAGCTGAGCCCCGAGTGCAGGTGGTCTCCCCTGCAAGTCCTAGCCGGACCTGACCCTACTTAGCTTCCAGAGCTCAGATGGGTGAAGAGACTCTCAGTGTGACAAACGAGCAGCCTGGGGCACCTGGGGGATGACGAGGGAAGGTGTGACGAGGTGGCTGTATGAACAAGGAGGCGGTGAAGACCACCAGTGAGGACCATGAATAATCTGGCTGCTCTCCTTGCCCCACACACCTGCTCAGCTTCCCCCCCCCCTCCTGAGCAGACTATGTTGTTTCAAAGCAGGCACATTTTTGCACAAGGCAACTTTTTTTATAAAAACACTGCAGAGTTCGTTTTGGGCATGCCAAAGACCCCGGAGACCCCCAGAGGGGATGTAGGGAGAGATGTGACCCCAGCGCAAAGCCGCTTCGATTAGCAAATTTCTCCGCCCAGCAGACCCGGCATGGCTGTTTCTCCCACAGGACAAGAAAAGGGGGGGGGGTAGCTTGATCTATGATATGGACTATATCGACATTCCATATTTTGAAATAAATCTTACCAGATGAGTTGTGTAATCAAGGAATTGTGTGTCTGCATATATTTGCATATGAAACTCGAAAGCCCAAATAGGGTCACCCAGAAAGTTTACGCTTTAGAGCGCAGAAAACACACAAGAACGGCGTATCAAACGTTTGTGGGCTCCTGTTGTACCTTGAAGCCTCAGGGGAGCCGATGGCACCCGGAATGGATTTTACTTTCAAATTATTACCATCCCACTCAGGATTCTTCAGATCCTGAAGACCTTAAAGGGGTCTTTATCCCTTTTCCCCTCCAGGAGCCCAAAGCAGCGGAGATGACTTCTCTTCCTCACCTCTTTCCTCACAACAAGACCCTGTGGCAGATTGGGGGGAGAGGGAGAAATGCCTCCCCAGCCCATGGAATGAACGGGGCTTGTCTCTTTTCCTCCCACAGCATTTTATGCTCAGAACTAATGGGGGGGGGGGTTGAGAAGCCTTCACAACTGTTTTGCTGCCCTGCAGCGCCCCCTCTTACTCCTGGCCAGGGAAGGGTAGTGCAGCTCCTCCCAGGGACCGCCAGAGCAAGAGAGATCAGGCCAGACAGCCATGATGGGACCAAAGTTTGGGGCTGCCCCCCCCCTGGCCCCCAAAGTCCTTGCAAGGCGATTCTAGGCCTGGAGGGTCCAAACAACTCCCTCATGCTAAGGCAGCCCAGAGTCCACCTCCTTGGGGAAACAACGCTGCCCCTTCAGATACTGTTCGGCAGTTTTTCTCCCAGCGCCCTCTTATGCCCAGGAACTGCAACTTCCATAGTTCCCAGCCAGCCTGTTTAGAAGCTGCCACCTTTCCCTGCTCTGCTAGATCTTGTGCCTCTTGCTTCTGGGGCTTCAGAAAACTTGACACCTCCAGGAAGCGACTCTGTGGTTCACATTTTTATTAAAGTCCCATTTGGCCTCACAAACATTATTTTCAAGTTTGAGGGTTTCTCCCCTCCGTGCACTGGGAGGGCCCCAGTTTGAATTTCAGCACCATCAGGTGCTCCTGGATGGGCAGGCCTCGCCTTCTTCCCTCCGAGCTGAGTAGCGAAGGGCAGAAGATGCCCGGTGGGATGCCAGGAGCCCAAAGCCGCTCTCTCAGGATGGGCACTGAGCCGTGGGCACAGCCTGGCATTTCCTGCTGGCAATGGAATTTGGAAGGGAAGCCAAGTGAGGGTCTCCCCCTTGCATGCACACACTCACACACAACACAAATGACACAAGAACGACTGGCTTCCCTTGATGGCACCGCTGCTTTCCTAGAGAAGCCCAGAGCTCCCTGCTGGTACCGAGTGCTGGGGCAGAAACAAAGCCCCTCTGGCCGGAAAGGGCCCGGCTGGTGGACACAGAGCCATCTCCTTCGAAAGCCAAAAGGCAGACGCTCGGCTGCTGGGCTCCTCTGTCGGGCGGCCTCCATGGTGCCCGGCTCCCCCGCTGGGGTGCAGCTTGTTGCTATGGCGTCTCCCGCAGCAGGGACTCCGGCAGCAGCTTCTGCAGCAGGAAACCAGGGGAGGGGGAGGCTGAGATCCTCAGGAGGCTAGGCGTGGGGTGGAATGGTTCCCCTGATCCCTCAAAAGGGGTTCCCTTGGCACAATCCGGGTGTTGGAAGATGGCCGCCCACTGCTCTGGGGCTCCCGATAGGTCTCCAGGGCAGGCATCCATCTCAAGTCCTGCGCTTCTCTTGGAGGAGGCCGTGACTCCTTCCAGTTGTCTCCCCCCCCCTGGGGGGGGGGGTAGAGAGCTTCCAAAAGCCTCCAAGAGTATAGAAAGAAAAGCTGCACCCCGCACAAACAGGGGCTCCTCCCCGGCTCAAGTGAAGGAGAGGCCCTGAACTCCCTTTTGTGGCAGGCCTTCCGAAGCACTGAGGACACAGCCGTGCTCTGCCAAAGCCCAAACAGATGGAATAAGAAGAGACAGCTGCCTTGATGAGCAGGAAGCAGCTCCCAATGTTGTTAAGAGGACACAACAGAGCAGCAAGAGGGGTCTGCCAATGGAGAGGAGGGGGATGAAGGAAAGTCCATCTCCCCTGGCCCTCAAGCACATTGAAAAGGGGCACAGGGCAGAGAGATTTGGCTGAGAAGACGCCATCTTGGTGACTGGCAGGACTGCACAGGAAATACAGAAAGATGCGGGTCAAACAGAACGGCCTAAAATACCAGCTGCGTCTTGGGGGGAAGAGGATTGGCAACTGGCTGAGACTCCCCTAAATTAGGCTAATTCCTTGTGCCCCCCCCCCCGGAAAGCAGCCTCTGGCAGCATCCCTGGAACTGTCTTCGGAAGCCATGAAACGAGTTCGCTTTAGCCCTTCAGTTGGGGCTCCTTTTGACGCACCCCTCTTCTTGGGGCTGCCCGCTCAGCTCTCCCCTACGCTCTGCAGGTGGCCTTGCCACAATTGATAGAGCCCCTCTTCTTGGGACCCCCCCCCCAAGGGAGGCCTGCTCACCTATGTCCGCCCGGACGGTGTTCACCTCTTGCGCAGCCTCGCCATGAAGCAGCAGGTGACCGAGACGAGGATGGAGACCCCCAGGAGGATGGCGCTGGAGATGCCGACCGCCAGAGGGATGAGGAGGGTGTCCATGGCTGAGGAAATGAGGGGAGGAGGGACGTCAGCCCTCGGCGACAAAGGCAGGGGTGGGGTAGATGGGAAGCGGAGTCCCGGCAGGAAGGCCCAAGCAGGGGAAGACTCGGGCCCGAAACGGTCTGGGCTCTACTCACCCAGCGGATACGGGTACACAGTGACCATGTTGGACTTTGCTGAAGCGGCCTGATACCAGCTGTGGTCAGGAGAGTGCACCCAGGCGGTCACAGCGCAGTAGTAGCCCCCTTCGTCAGATGGCTGGACCGCATGCAAGCGCAGCCGGTGGCTGTGCGGCCCCACTTTATCCACGCTCAGGGCCCCGCCAGACGGCCGCTCCTCCAGCTGGGCCACCCCCTCGCGGTCCACGGAGGCCAAGATGACCCCAAGCGGGGTGGAGCCTGGCTGTGGTAGCTCCGCCCACCAGCTGAGGGCCAGGTGGAGGTCCTGAGCTGATTCCCCCGAGACGTTGCACCGGACGTCAGCTATGCCGCCACGGTAGGTGGGGAAGGGCAGCCACGCAACGGCCCCCAGCACCACCGCTGTGGGGAGAAGGGGGCAGCGTGAGAAGGGGGCAGGAGCCCTTCCCGCCCTCCCACTGGTGCAAGAACTCAGCAGCCCTAAAGCCGGGAAAGGGGGGCTCCTTCCTCTAGAGGCAGATTTAAGAGATTAATGGCATTAATTATCCTGCGTGTAATTATGGGACGGCAGGCAGCACTGGGAAGATGAATGGCCTGTAGGGAATGTTTCTGTCTTCTCTTAATCAAAGCAGGCAAAGACCCCTTTTTTACCACCCAATTTTTAAAATCAGCCGAAAGGGTGGTCCTGCAGGCTGAAGAAGCCTCGGGAAATACAAGAAGCGTGGGGCAAAATGGGAAATTAGCTTAGCCGGACCAGCAGTGAAAGCCGCCTTTAGAGGGATGGACGAGGGCCCCGCTGGCCCTCAGGGGCCCCTCCCCCCAAAGGCTATGCGGCCCAAGGAGGGAACCAGGTTAGCTGTGCGGGGGGGGGGGAGGAAGGGCTACCTTGGGACTTGATCTCCACGCTGACCGCCTCGGAGCTCAGGGCAGCCAACGGGCGCAGCTCTGCGCTCGGAGACCGCGAGAAGGCCTGAACCTCGCAGCGGTATGAGCCCTCGTCTGCCGGCTGGGCCGACGCGATCCGTAGCAGGAAAGTGCCCAGCGGGGTGTCCAGCTTCTGCAGGGAGACATGCCTCGTGCCCACGTCGCGGCTGGCGTAGTTCTGGCCCAGGACAAGCCCTCCACTGGCCTCCAGCCGGGCAATGAGATGCCCCTGCCCAGCAGCCTCCTTCCTCAGCTCCCAGCTCACCGCCCAGGCGACGTGGGGCAGGAGGAGGGCGGGGCCTCCGGAGACGTTGCAGAAGAGCTCCAGAGAATCTCGGGGGCTGAGCAGGACTCTGCGGGGACCGGCAGACACCGAGAGCTGGCTCTCTGGAAGCAAAGCACAGGGGAAAAAGGGGGTCACAGGCCGCTCCCTGCCTGTGGTGGTCCCACACGCGCCCACCCCACTGATCATGCCCCCATGGTCCCCCTGCAGCAGGATGGCCTCAGGGCCCAACAGGCAGAGCAGAGCGAAGGGAGAGACGCTGCCAGGATGGAGAAGGCTGGTGCCAATTCTGAGAGAGGAGATTATGGGGGACGCCCAGCAGATCCCTTTGGAGAGACACAGTGCCCCCTCGGGAAATGAGGAACAGGGGCTCCATGAGCCTCCCCAAGATATAAAGGGGCGTTTGGGGGAGGAGCCAACCCACCTATGCTTTGAACCGAGACATCAGCCAGCGTTACCCGCTTCTCAGTGATCTGCTGCCAGCTGCCGTCGGGATCCTGGATCCACTCCCCGGCGGTGCAATGATAGGTCCCAGAGTCCTCTGGCTTGAGTCGGCCTAGTGCCATCTGGTACCGCCAGTCGCCCAGCTTGACCAGGGCGAGCTCCCGGGCCGAGCGCCGTGGGGCAAAACGCCCGGCAGCCTCCAGGGCAAAGTCCCGCTGCAGCCCGATCACCTCCTGCTGCAGCCGGGGGCTTCCGGGCGCGGAGACTGTGAAGGCGACCGAGAGGTGGGTGTGCTGCTGGGTCCCGCTGGCCACAGAGCAGGTGAGCAGCAGGTCCTGGCTCTCCAAAAGCACCATCTGGGGAGGGGGAGCAGCTTTGCCCCCCCGGCCCTGGAAAGGGGACTTCGCACTGGAGGGAGGGGCAGCGGAGACAGAGAGCTGGTCAGGGATAACTGAGGGGGGGAGAAGCAGAAGGAAAAGGACGGTCAGTTCCCTGAGCCAGGACTGGGGAGCCCCTTCCCACCATTCCCCTGAATGCCATAGCAGCCAGGGGCTCCCCCTCTTCCCAAACTCCAAAGTGAGCCTAGCAGCCCCTCCGCAGCCAATTCTTGGGGGCTGGGCCCCGCCCCACGCAGCTTGCGCCCTGCCCACTGGCAGAGAGGTGGCACGTGGGAAGGGAAGGGGAGGAAGCAGGTCTGCTCGTTCCTCCCTCCGGCTGTGCTGAACCGCCACGGCCAGGACCCCGGCAGTCTGGGCAGGTCTCGCCCCAGGCAGCATCCAGCGGACTCACCTCTGACCTCCACCTTGGCGCTATAGGTGCCCTGGTATTTGGAATCCGTGGTGGGCGTGTAGCACTCATAGACCCCCGTGTCCTCCATCCGGATCGTCCTCACACGCAGTTCCACAGCGTCACCCCGAACGCGCAGGATGGAGATGTTGCCAGCCTGCACTCGGGCTCCAAAAACGGCGTAAGGGAAGTTGGGGTCTCGCGTGCTGACCATGCCGATGGAGATGTCGGGAGCCGACGGGCGATACAGGAACCACTCGAACTGCTGCAGGGAAGGACCCTCGAACTCGGAGACGTTGCAGGGAATGGCGAGGGTGGCGCCTTCCACACGGTACAAGGGCCCCGGAGGCAGCTGGACCTTCCTGGCGCCGCTGAGGGCTGGGCAGGCAACGGAGGCGGGTTAGCCAATAGCCCCATGGCTCCGATCCGAGGGACAGAGGAGCAGAGCAAAGGAAGCCGAGAGCCTTGGCTGGGGAAGGGGCTCCGACTGAGGAGAGCGCCCATCCCACCAACCTGGGGCCCTTCCAAGGGGGAGGGGAGAGGGGCTTGGCAAACTGCAGGGCAACCTGGAAAGAGCCCTAGAAATTCTTTGCAGGCTCTGCAGGCTGGGAGGCCTCATCCACGGCCTGTCCCAGAAGGCGGAAAAGCTCCAGGAAGACCATCCTGGCTCTACGGACTTTTGCAGGGCTTTTACAAGAGAGACCCCCGCCCCGAAAATAACCGGGAGGCTCAGCCCGGATCTGGCCAGCCAAGAACCCCCCCCCCGCCGATCGAGAGAAAAGGGCCTAATGCAATAACAGCCTGATGAAGCAAGGGGAGTCCTCCTCCGGGGAGCCCCTCTGGGAGAGCAGAAGGTGCAAAGGGCCTGCCTTTCCTTGGAGCTGCCCCCCTTCCACTACCCCCCCCCCCCCGCGCAACTAGGCAAGTGCTGGGCTTCCTGCTGCAGAGACTTGGTTTGTCTACTAGGGTTACCGGCAGCCTTCCTCGCCTGCCCGTGCCCAGCCCACAGCAGGGAAGTGGAGTCGCGCGTGGGGGGCTGCGGAGGGCCTGGGACAGAATCACAGCCGGACGGGGCAATGGGACGACAGCCCCCCCCCCCAGCAGACCAAGGCGAGCCTGACTGCCTGCACTGAGGCCTCCTGGGCGGCGGGGAGGCCTGTGGGAGGAACGGGGTCCTGGCGGCGAGGGGGGCGCCCATCTGACCGCCCGGTGGCAGCCCTCAAAAGGGCCGGATCTCAGCTGGGGGAGGCTCGGTCTTCCCTCCGCCTTCCCAGGCGCCTCGCGCAGACCGGGCTCCTCGCCCGGGACCGCATTCAGTCGCCGAGCCCTCCAAGCCGGCAACGCTCCGCTGGGCATGCCCCGCCCGGCCCGGCCCGGCTGCAAGAGAGCAAGCCAAGGCCGGCTTTCGTCTCCCGCCCTGCACGGCCCGCCAACCAGCCCCCCTTCCCGCCGCTGCGACCGGCTGCGGCCAAAGCCCAGCCCGCGCCCCGACCAGCCCTTCCACGCACCGGCCAGCGGCAGGAGGAGAAAGCAGAGGAGGCGGCGGCGGCTCAGCGCCCGCGCGGGATCCTCCATGAGTGGCCGGGGAGGCGGCGGGACCCGCCAGGCAGCGCCGCCCTGCCGCGCCCTCTCCGAGTCGCCGGGATCCGAGTCGGTTTTCGGCGGGGAAGGCGGCTCGCTCAGCCCGACCGGGCCCAGGAGAAGCCGGGCTCTGCTGACTAGCCACGCCTCCGCCGCCGCGCGCCCGCCAGCGAAGAGCGGGGTCGCGCGCGCGATCGGAGCTGTCCGGAGAGCCCAGGCACGGGCGGTCTGTACGTGCCCAGGAACCTCGTGCTCGTAGGGCGATAGTCGCTCGCCTTCCCTCCCCCCTGGCCACGGCGGACGGTGGACTCCGTGGGGCAGGGGGGAGACCGTAGCTCCGCGCGATGCCCGGTGCAGGGGAGCCCTTCTGGGCGGTGCAGCGGATCCGCGGCCCCCGGGGGGCGCCAAGCGCCATGGCAAGGACAGCTGCTCTCCTGGAGGAACGAGGGACCCCGGCCAACATACTCAGAAATCCAGGGGTACCCTAAATATATCAAATGCCGAAGAAGGGACAAGCCCGGAAGGGGGATTGTAATAGGAACTGCTGGCAGGAACATTTGGCTGTGGAACTCATGGCCTCAAGCTGGTCACTGCGTCCACCAGCTGGGCAGCAAACAGTAAAGTAGCCCAAAGGCCTCTAGCCCAGCCCAGCCCAGCCCTGGCAACCCTGCCGGCTCCCCAAAAGTATCCAGAGAGAGTGGACTAGAGGGGACGAATTGCTCCATCTCTCTCCCAGCCCCCTCAATGTTTTGGCCTAAGACCGGCCCACTGACCGGTCTTAAAATCAGACACGCAAATGGAGACCTATGTACTAAGGTTCTTTTAACGCCTCTCTTTCACAACAACCCTGTGAGGGAGGTAAGATGAGAAGTCGCCCGACACTGAGTCTTGCCCAGATCTGAGCAGTCCTGCTGTTCCCCTGGGTGGTCCCTCAGAATCAGGCCCTCCGCAGGATCATGGTTAGCAGCACCCAGATTGGCTGGGAGGGAGGCCCTGGATCCACCGGAAGGCCAGAGCAACCCCCCCACCCTGTAGAGTGTGTCTTTGGAGAGAAAACTCAGTTTGCTCTCTCTGGAGAGGGAGGGATGGAGGGAGCTGCTCTCTCTCTCTCACAAGCACACACAAACAGACACACACACACATAAACGCACGCACCAAAGGGCCTGTGGGGATGGGTCTCTCAGGCTCCCTTCCCTGTGGTGGACTTGGCGCTCTTTCACAGCAGCATTTATTTACACAGCTTGGGAAGTGGGGGGTGGAGGGACCAGCCCCCCCTCCCAAGGCATTCTTTCCTCTCCCCCCCCCATTTTCCCAGCCAGCCTGCAGCCTCTGCGTTTCCCAGGTTGCAGATGCGAAGGAACAAGGTGGCCATGTTCCCTTGGCGATGGGAATAGGCTGCCTGCCAGATTTGGGCCGGCTGAGTGCGCTGCCCCATTTCCACAGAGGAGAAGGGCTGAGGGGGCCCTGGGGCAGCCCCAGCCTGGTGCCAGACCGCAGCAGAGAGCCGGCCCTGCCCAGCCCTGCCTGGAGCCTTCCAGGGAAGGGGGCTGTTCTCCCCAAGTGCACAGGCTACCAGGGGCCTGCCCCCCCAACCCCCCAGGAAGAGAGGACAAATGGGGGCCCCAAGGAGGTTCAGGGGCGATTTCTGGGTTTGGGGGCAACTGTCACAGTATGAAACTGAGTCTTCCTTGTCCCTCATGCTTGCTTCTAACTCTGAGCCCTCTGCACATGCTCGCTTGCCACAAGCTGTCCTTGCCAAGGGAGGACTGGCATCCAAGCTCCAGCTGTGGAGCTGCCCCCCTGCCTGGCAGGTGCAGCCGAGAGACTTTGGGCTTTTTCCATCCTCGGTTTGGTTCATTCACTCATTTGACCCCGTCCTCTTTTCATTCCGGCCGCTTGGGAACATTGGCCACAGGAGACGGGCTGATGGCTTCCCTTTGCCTGCCAGATGAACGGGTCTCCCCCCTCCTCCTCCCATTCGCATTCCACAGCTTCCTCCTCGGAATTACAATGGAGGCCCAGATCGGCTGAGCCCTTCCTCCACCCCACGTTGGATCCCTCAGCCTCAGAAGGTCAAGCAGAGAAAACCCCTTTTCTCACAGAAGCAAACCTCAAGAGACATTTTGCATCCTTGACATAATAGGAAAAGGTTTTTTGGGGGGGAAGGTCTCCTCCCTTTCTGTATTCACAGGCGTGCAAAGGAGCCCCGATCCTCCCACTGGGAATGTCGTTCAGGCTAAGGAGGGGCTCTGGGGCCCCCCTTTAGTCTCCCCCTCTTAGAGCCCTTTCCGGGATCTGCCTGGCCAGCAGGAAGCCACCTGAGCCTCTTTGAGGGGTGCGGGACAGCCAGCCCACCGTGAGGGAGAAGCGTTTCCCGTCTGTTTCGGTGCTGGAAACTTGATTGCTGTGGACTTGGGACAGGGAGACAGAAAGTCTGTGGCACAACAACAACTTGCCATTCAACCACACAATGCATCGCAAAGAAACGTTCCCGTTTCTGATGGCTTAAAAAGGGTTAGTTAAATGCAGCTCCTGGGGCAACTTGCTCTCGCCCCCCCCCCCGTAGAGTTTTGCCTGAGGCTCGGTCGTCTGTGGGGACTCTCAGTCATCCAGGCCACAGTTGCCCCAAAGGTGCTTTTCCAAAAGGCAACTTTTGAAAACTTCTCTTATTCCTTGAAGACGTTTCACTTCTCATGCAAGAAGCTGCTTCAGTTCTGACCCGCCCCAGTCTGGGCTCTGGGCAGGCAGGTCCCAGTCGAAGAAATGAGTGTCTCTGGCATGTTTTTCCGCTGACTCCGCAGGCCTTTGCGAGTCCCGATTGCACAAACAGTGACCTGGGGGGGGGGCTCCTGCAAGGAACAAAGCCAGAAGCCCAGGGCAAGGTAGCCGCTGGTGTCCTTCCCGTCCGGCATGACTGTCCAGAACAAAACAGCAGGCCTTTCCGTGGCCAAGATGCCTGGCCAAGTTCTGTGGGATCTCAGTGGGGAAGGATGAAGCAGCAAAACGAGAGCCACTCTGTGCAGTTTTCATACTCCCCCAGCTCCCCCCGCCCGAGAACTTCCCAGCCTCTGCTCTTGATTCTCCTGCCTGACTTCCATGTGAGCTGCTCCTTCCCTCCCCCAGCCCCCCCCCCCTGAGTTTTGTAATGTAGGAAGCCCAATCCCAATTCAGGAGGGGGGGGCTGCCTTTGGTGCCCCCCTAGGCACAGACTTAGAACACAAAACCACCCCTCAGCAGCACCCCACTGGATTGCAGGAAGCCCCCCTCCTCCTGCTTTGCCTCTTGCATGTGCTTGGCACAGAGGGACACCAAAGACAACAAAAACACTGCACCGACAACAGCACACAGAAAACGACTCTCCCTCCAGGACCACAAGCTGCTTTTGTAAGAGAAGGAGCCTGTTTTCCTGCCCTTCCAACACCTGCTCCCAGCTTCCCGGCAGAGAACCTCCCATGGTGCACAGCGAGGGAGCACTGCTTCACTGGGAAGCTGGCCCCAAGGGGCCCCGTGAGCGAGTCTCTGGCTTAGCGAGGACCCCAGAGCCTTGTGCAGAGGGAAGGGCTCTCAACATTCAACCCAGGGGACCCCATGTCCCCAACAGCTGTGACGCAGAAGAGGGGAGCCTGGGAGGATGAGGCTAAAAGGGCCCTGCCCTCCCACCGCATCTCCCCACATCATCCCTCCCAGGGACCCTCTTTCCAAACAGGGAAGGAGGACCTGAGGCTGAAAGCAAAGGGAGAGAAGGAGCGATTGTCAAATTGTTTGCAAACTCTTTGGATTCATTTGTATCCAGTGGGATATTTGTTTGCGTGAAGCTTCATTTTAAAAAGCAGTGAAGTTTCTCTTTGGCAATTAGTTACACAGAAATGAAGCAGTTTTCTAAAAGTAGCCACACACCCGATGCCTCCCCTCCCAAGTCCAGCTTAAAATCAAGGGGTGTTTGGAGATGCCCACACAACTGATTGAGACACACAAACACATCCCCAGCCCTCTCTGGGGCACACAGGGCAGCGCAGCGTGGGTCTGGTCCCAGAATGAAATTTCAAAGCTTTTCTTTTCTGCCCTCCAAAGTCATATTAAAAAGAGATTTGGAAATAAATAACCCGGCCTCACAGTCCCTGGAGCTAAATCCCTTTGGAGCAGCAGGGAAGGTCAGATTTCATTAAAGTTAGGGAAATGGGGTCTCCCAGAGCTGCCTGGAAGCTTCCCGACCTCTTCTGCCCCTTCCTCCAGCCGCGAGCCCCCCAATTCCCAGCTCCGCGGCTGGCAAGGGGCCCCCCATAGCTAGCTGGGTTGCAGGGCAGCCATTCCAGAAGAGCTTCCCCCTTTTAGGCCAAGAAGGCCCCCCCGCAGAAGCAGCCTTGGTGCCTCGGATGTGGCCGCTTCAAGCCGGGTCTCTCGTGGGCAGCTCAGGATCTGCCAAGGGACCCACTGCAGCTTTGGCCCCCTTGCCAGAGTTTCCTTTCCCTCTGGCAACGAGGCAGAGATTACACTTTCCTGGGCGCTCGAGTTCTGCTCTTGCGCCAGTTTTCATGCCAGACTGCACTAAACCAGAATGTGGTTTATCAGCACACCCCGAGGTTTGCAAACTGTGGTTTAAGGCTCAGCATCCTGTAGAACAATCCCAGAGCTGTTGGCTCATGGAAGGGCTGGCCTTTGTGGGGGTTTGACTGAAGGAGGGGTGACGAACACGTCACTCACTCCTGGCCAGGTCAGGGGAGATCGGTCCCTGAACTGGGTTCTGCCAACATGGGGCTTCCGTGCAAGGCCAGCTGAGAAAGAGTCAGTCCAGAGTTGGCACACGGGGCAGTCAGTTTGTGATTTGTGACAGTGGGCACTCCCCCCCCCTCTATCCAGCCCCCCCCCCCAGTAATGCAGCAAGGGGGCTTTTCTGCTGCTGGTAACAGGCTAGTGTGCCCAGGGAGGCTTCTGTGCCAGGAGAGGGAGAGAGCCAGGAGCCAGCCACTTCCCTGCCCAGAGAGTGGACAGAACCAACTCTCTGCTCTTGAAAACAGCCTGTGGCGGGGGGGGGGATAGGGGAGAGGTTGGGAAAGCCTGAGAAAAGGGGGAGGGTCCATGGGGGGAGGAGCCTTCCTCCCTTCAAGATCCCCTTTCAGCCAGTGCCTTTACCCAGAGAAAGAGCGCAGAGCAGAGGGGAACCAGAGCTATTTAAGGAAAGGGGGACTCCGCTGCCACCCAGCCGCCCGCTTGCCCCTCTCACTCCAGGCACAATGGGCAAAGGGGTGAGTATCTTGGGGCAGGAAGGCCAGGCAGCAGTGGAGTGGTTGGGCAGACCAGTGGCACAGACCTGGTACCCAGCCAAAAGGAAAAATGGCTCCAGGCTGGGCCAGTGGGTGCAGTCGGGGGCCTGGACTGAGTGGCCCCAAAATTCCCCTCTCTTCTTTGGGAGCCCCCTGAGAATCCCGGCCGCTCCTTCCAAACCCCTCTGCCTGCTGGTGAAGTCAGAGGTCACCAACTCAACTGGCAGGAAAGTCCGGCTGACTCTCTCCGACAGGGCCAGGGTGGCAGAGATGCCAGCTGAAGGCATGAGTGACACTGGCTGTTGGACTCTCGTCCCAGAGCCGACCTTGGCTTCACGGCCCACCGGGGTC